CCCAAGTAATAACTATTAGACCCTGAAGATGATAGGAAAAGCATATCTCTGTCCTTTGATTTCGTCATCAGCCATGTTATAAGAGTGCGCAGTTTATTCTATAAATCTATTAATAAAAAATATACAGTCTCTTTCTCTCTCCCCCTCCCTCCCTCTCTCTCTTTCTCGCGTGTATTCTTGGGCTTGAATCGTCACGGTATGGTCAACCATTGGCTGTATCCGTCGATAGGATGCATTAAGCTATTCAGCACTCTATCGCGCTCCACACTACGCGCCGGCTCGGTCTGTAATCTACGATGCAGTTTCGTCTTCATTTGCCAAATGGTCGGTAAATCCAGCCGACGCGACGTCGTCACTGACTGCAGGAAAGGCGACGGTTTAGCATCACGGCATCTAACCGTCGTGAGGGCGTTACGACGAAACTTAACTGCGATGTAAACCCACTTTGGCTTCGCTGGATGCTGCTAGATGAACGTCGTTTCTCACTAACACGAAGTCGCACGAACCATTTAACGATTCCCGGAGTGAGATTACGCGACGCGCAATCGCCGACCCTGATCTGTTTTTGGAGGCTCGCGAATGCGGCCAAATTGTCGCGAGGCATCGCATAACGCTGCGATACGTCAATTACGATCGCTCCCACACATACGTGCGCACAAAACACACACACACACACACACACATATACACAGCATAGATGCCTATATGAGAATAGCAATTATCGGGGAAATTGAGAAATCGCTTCCTCTCTCTCCTTCTCTCTCTTTTCTATTATACGGAATATAGGTGAAGGAATATTTTCCATCGCATTTATTTTACAACTGACTGATTTGTGCGAGTAAAAAAGCCGAAACGGGTCAACTTTCGAGGGAGATTGTTTATGACCATTTACGGCTGTGATCAATTCAGCCGTACCTTCGTCCAAATGTTTCGGCATTTTTCGCACAAATCAGCCAATTACAAAGTAAACGGGACGAAAAGTTTTCCTTGACCGTTCACATTTGCGCGCGCGCACTCGTTGAATATGTGATATTCAGAATCATAAAGGTGAATTGAGGGACTGTCGTTTTTCTAAAAATTTGTTCTCTTTACCGCGATTTTTTATGCAATTCGCGAAATAGACGCGAAAGGCGAAATGCTTTACTTAATCAAAGCGCTATTAAATCGGACGCGGCTGAAATAAACGTCCGAGCGTAAATGAGGACGACCTAGTGAGTCGAGTACTTTCGGTCTCGCGAGAAATAATTAATTTTTGCAATAATTGCAACATAATAAAATAAACGAAAATACGGCAGTGGTTTCGTCGCGGAGCTTTATGTATTCGTAATCGCGTTTTATAAATGAAGATAAATAATTTACACGCATGTGTTTGAACGTAATTGAGTCGACGTCGAGCAGCCAAAAATATTCGTTTAACACTTGACTTTTTTTTTAATATAAAAGAGTCCAGAGAGCGAATTCCATGAAGGGAGAGAAAAGAGTCTTCTTCGCTATATCGCCGAAGAAAGCGCGGGATTCCTCAGACTTTCAGACTGTCACTTTCCCGACCTGTAGAAAACAACATTCTTGAAACGAAAGACTGGTCGTGGAAATTGGATTGTCCTTCGAAAGCCCCTGGGGTGTCATGCGTAGAAACGCGGGATGATTCATTCAACACTACATCCACGGAATGCTTCGGAGTCGTTCTACGACTCCGTATGAAAAGGAAAAAAAAATCAGCAATAAATAGAAGTGGAATTTTGCGGAATTTAGATATTCAGCGAGGAGACTTCGCGACAGCTTAATGCACTTTTGTCGTCTGAAACATTTATTGCTACCTGCGATATTCATATTGAAACCGCGCGCGTCTCATACAATTACCGCGATAATGAGATTTAGATAATAATCGTTAAATTAACTTATCCTCCGTTGCTTATTATTACATTAGACTGGCCAGTGATCGAATACAGAAAGAGCGGAAATAGCAAATTATATTTGGACAATTCAGGACATTCGGAAACATTCATAAAGGGCCTCCCGAACGCCTGTTTCAACTGGAAATTATGTTATATTAAGCGAAATGACGCGCATGCACGTGAAATAATAATGTCTGCGCGAGAGGAGAAACGTGTCGAGAAACGTATAGGGTGGAAGCTGACAAGCGCATAAGTGTGCGATAATTCGCGCGCGAGTAGTATCGTAGGCGTTTTACGTGCAGTTTCCGTTGTAAAGTAGGGAGATTCCGGGAGTATTCCCAATTACAAAATGCCCGGGCCACTCGAATTTAAAGGTGCAAAAAACGTGGGAAGTGAACGGAAGTTGGTGTTTGATGGATTCGTTTGTTTATATGAACTTTTCTCATTATTTTGTTTAGTAGAACACGCCGGAGAGAAGTTAAACATGTTAGAAGCGCTCGGTGCAGGACTGATCATGGGTACACACACTCTCAACACGTGCACTCGTGTAATTCGCGTAATTGCAGCAACACGGAAGGTCGGTCCGGTCGCAATAGCCGCTATAAGATACAAGTGCCTACGTGATACAATTGTCACACGGAGAATTTGTGTCTTCGTCGTTCCTCCGTCGCGAGAAAATGCTGCCGTCGCGTGCACCTTTTCGCGACTTTGAAGTCGCTCTTAATTCCGCCACTCCGACGACGAAAAAAATTCTACAGTTTTCCGCGCTTCCCTCATTCCCGACATTATAGCGTTCGTTCTGGCGCTCTCTTACGACAAGAAACAGAGAAAAAAAAAAAAGGAAAACAAAAAGAAAGGACACGGAAACAAGAAAAAACGCAGACGTCGCGCGACGTCGAGATGAATTCGCGGCGTAGCGCAAATGTAAAATGGCAGGAACATTAAATAAAGCCCGGAATAGCGACAACGTTCTGTGCGTCCTGCAAAGCCTCTTAGATAGAAGTAAATTGTAAGTCTCTTACCCGACTGGTCAACGCCGTAAGCACTTCCGTTTGGTCGGCAAAAACAGCTTGGAGTATAAGGAGATTAGAGTCGTTATAGCGTCGGCCGAGGACAAAAGTGGAGGAAGTTTCATGCGAAAGTCGCGACCCTAGTCTAACGTTTCGCCATCTCTCGCGCGACGCAAACCGTGCAAAGTGACGGAAAGCCGGCTACCGCTACAAAAGAATCACAGTCGGGATATACTAAAGTACAAGTTGCGTAACGGTGCAGACGACGTTGAGCTGCCGCGAGAAAGGAATAATTCACGCGACAAAAATGCGAAGGAAGTCTCGCAGTCGTGTCGGTGTTAAAGCAAAGGAATATTCCCCCTCTCTCTCTCTCTCTATCCTTTCTCTTTCTCTCCCTCTCTCTCTCTCTCTTTCTTATCCTCTCTCTCCCGCTCTCTCTCCCACTTTCTAACTCTCTCTTTCCTTTTTACCATCCCTGTCTCCCTCGTTCTACCTCTCCATCTCTCACTCCTTCCCTCTCCCTCCCCTATTTCTTCCTATAACTCCCCTCTCTCCGCTCTTCTCTCTCCTCTTCCCTCCCTCTTTCTCTGCCTCCCCTTACTCTCCCTTCCCATTTCTCCCTCTCATTCACTCCCTCACTCTGTCTCTCTCTGTCCCTTTTTCTATCTCTCTCTATCTCTCCTTCTTTCTCTGTTTCCTTTTCCTTCTCTCTGTCCCTCTCTCTTTTTCTTTTTGTGGGAAACGAGAAGTTCGGTTTGGATTTTTTCCAAATGCAAAAATTCTTTGCCAAATGTAACCATAATGCAATACCCGGTACATAAAATTAATCAGAATAATATTGTTACTTTTCAGCGAATTTCCTGATCAAAAGTGTGTCTAATTCTTCACATTGTAAATACACGTTGTAAATAAACGAATGCAGAACGTATACTGAGAAAGAAGTGTTTGGCATATTTGTGACTATAATTATACATTGTGTAAGAATTACACGATGCAAGACTAACACTGCACAATAATTCTTAATTTTTTGTTTGCGCTGAGTAGTTAAAACCGCGCTAATAGAACATTTTGCTTACTATATTTGAATTCAGCAGATCAAAATTAGTAAAAATTGACAACTTTTATCTGTGGTGTAAAATAGCTATTGAGCTGTGTAATTAGAAAAGCTATTTTTATAACAAGTGTTCCTTATAATAATAACTTTGCATATATACTGCGGTTACATCTTTTTATTAAAACAACGAAAAGATACTCAAATGGGCTTTCATGATTATCACAATAAGAAACAATTAATGATAGAAATTTATTTTATACACGCGTATAATTATTAAAATACATTTTATAATTATTTTAATTACATTTATGTGCCAAATATATTATATTGATCTAATTATTATTTTGCATCATAGCATAATATAAGTTTTTTGTTATTTTGATATAACTACAAATTTATTAAATATTTAGGTTTCATACTACATTTAGCATAACATATTGTTTCGAACAGATTTTAATAATTATTTTCGTATTTTTTTCGCTATTCTATTTCATTTTATGCGATAAACATAAATTACATATAAACCATGTATAAGGATTGGGACCTTTATAAATGCACTAATAAAATTTACATACATCTGTCTATCTGGGATAAACTTTCATAAAAGTAATTTCACATATGACAATTGATGATTATAACTTTACAATTGTTTTAACTACATTTATGAAGCATATATAGTATTGAGTTAATCATTAAATTTACATCAAACGATAATATTAGTTTTTTGTTCTATATTGAGGTAGCAATAAAAATCTATTAAAAGTCACATCGAGGTTTTCATATTACATTTTATATAACATGTGGTTTTTAGTAAATTTTGATCGTTCTTTTCGTGTATCTTTCTACTTCGTCATTTTATATGATAAATATATGAGTGCAATGTGTAAATCACATATAAGAGCTGTAAACTTTACAAATCGATTGGTAAAGTTGTTGTCAAATTTACGTACATCTGCTTATCTAAACATCGAAAATAACTACAGTTTTTAGTGAAACTAATTATTTTGTGTCAACATAAGTCGTTGATTGTATCGTACTTACATTGATGCGTCAGACTGGTGGTTAGAACCTGCTTACTGGTGTCTGCGTATTCGGCAGAGCTGCAAGCAAGAAATAACATAGTTTCATATACTATCAGCTATATAGTATCTAGTTGATAGCGTTATCAGTTCACGCAGAAATAACATACGTCATATTACCGATCGAAACGAGCTACGGTCGTTTCTATTCCGAGCGACTTCTACTATTCTCACGTATCAAGTTATATACTCGATAACGAGGGTTTACCGTTTCAAGAACCTTCGATACAAATAAATCTCGATTTATTCTGTGCTCAAAGAGTAATGTGTCTGATTTTCAGAAAGCATCGCGAGAGTACGTTTGACTAGATACATATGCTAAACGGCTCGCGTTTCATTATAAATAACTCTGTCGCCTTTCTGCACGCTATACATTCTAATCTACATAAAGATAATTGTAATACATAAAACTTTTTGCGACACACATAATTCTAAAAGATTAAAATACAAAGTGAAAGAGAAACACACGCGCATAAATGTTTTTACGAAAATACGCGTGCTAAACTGTACATTCTATTAAAAATAACGCATGACCAACCAATGGATGATTATCATCAAAGTGATTGCAGCAAACTATTCTCGATGCAGAAATTCGAATCGAATTTTTTCTCCCACTTTATATCTCGATTTACAATGTTTGATATGTAACGCCTGCGTTGATATTTTTATTTAAAAAACGGACCTTTTTTAATATTGTTTAAAGGGGGGAGATGCCATATTTGAAAGCTTTATCGACAAAATAATACTTTTTTTCTATAAAGTTTACCTCATATGGGTTGCACAGAATTACAAATGCTTTTACACAATGAAAATACGTGCAAAAGTGAATTGATGTATTGCGCGATATGTAACGAAAAAAAGTTAATTGATATTTTGAATTGTCAATATATTTAGCGTATATTTTCCTAATATAAAAATTCTGCAGCTTGTATCTACCGAATATGTTTACTACACTCATAAAATTTGCAGAGAACATTCCTGTAACTTCACAATTAAATTTAGAAATAGACGGAAAGTTTGAAGAAAAAGATTTGTACGTATATACGATTAAGTTTTTGTCGTGTTAATTATGAAAGTCTACCTGGATAGGTTAACCTTATAAGCGTACGTATTGACAATTTATTGTGATTCTCTCTAGCCGAAAAATATGATATTATAAATAACCGGTGAAAGAAAGAAGGCAGCCAAAGTTCTTCGGCATGGCGCATAGTCGGGCAACCCCCGTGAACCGGACAAATATCTCGGGTAACTCGTTTGTGCCGGCGGTGCATGTTTCATGCCGGAAGTGGCCCGAGTCCCAGGCCCCGCCACGTTCATCTCGCAGCGGTTTCCGCAAGCTCCGTAGGGTCATTAGCCAACCATTCATTATGCAACTGCGAGGCAGTATTGCGTCAATATGGGGGCGGCAGATTGTTGGCCCAATCGATAACAATGTGCCGTGTTTACCGGGCGGATAATCAACAGACGCTGCTTCTGCTGTCTCGCCTGCGAAGACCAAGCAAGTGGGGAATTACGGTCCGTCTCGCTCCGAATGATATTGCGTTCCGGAAGTGTTACCTTTCCTCGTACCTCTCCGCCTGACTATCCGGCGACGTCAATTCCCGTCACTTCCCTTTCGTCTCTCTCTTTTTCCCTGTCTATCTCTGGCTCTCTCTCTCTCTCTCTCTCTCTCTCTCTCTCTCTCTCTCGCTCTCTCCTTCTAACTCACAAGTGTCTCTATTCAGATATTCTGGCACTATCGCGAGCCTATCCGCGTTAAATGACACACGTTATCGAAAAGCTGTTCGGATTTGTAGCCTAATCGCGCACGTATCGATCACTGCGCTTGAATTATTCCGATATGATTTTCCACTCTACGTTTCGTAGTCGGATCATTCAAACGTCATGTGTGTGTGTGCGTCGCTTTTGTGGGCACGCCACGCGCACACATGGGACAGAATATGACGATTTCGCCAAGGGTTGACGTTAGATTATAAATCGCTGGTATCGTTTATAAAAATGGAAACGCCGCGGCGGCAGAGGTCGTACGATTTATGAGTCGACATATAAGTACCAAACGTCAAATTGACGGAACGGCTGAAATCGTGATTGCGCGGTTGCGTTAACTCGCGCTCACGATATCTCCACGCACGACGAACTATGCATTTCGATGCGTTCGTTACGCGCGCATCCACTTCGATCGCGATTGCGGTACGGTCGAGTGCGCTTGATCGCCAAACGAGCCGAGCGATACACACACGTACACACACACACACACACACACACACACACACACACACACACACACACACACACACACACACACACACACACACACACACACACACACACACACACACACACACACACACGCACACGCGCGCACACACTCGGCCGTTTGTGAAACGGTCAGGTGGGCGGAGGAAAAGAGGCGCCGGAAGTACGGACGTCGTGAGATGAAACGTTACGGGCGCGATATCCTGGCGCGCGCACGGAAGGACGCCGCTTCCCTTTGATCTAAGTTGCCGGGAATGCAGGGCGAAGGGACAGCGTGCGTAGCTGTTGCCCAGGAAGTTGGGAGTAATTTGCTTAGTTGGATTAGATTGTGAATTTTGCGCCACGATGTTTGAACCGTTCATCTCGTCGCCGTCCCCCTCCGCTCCGTCGTCCCTCTTTCACCCTCACCTCATGCACCAACGAGTCAGCCCCCGTCTTTCTATCCGCTCCCCGCCGCCGCCGCCGACCTCATAATTACCGTAACGTCTTCAGAGATGACGAGCCCGCCGATTCGTTACAGCGCGACAGAACTACGCACTTTGATCCGGCAAGAAGCGGGTATTAACCGGCAGGATAGGCCATCGAAATCCGCGACGGTGCGCAACGTTAAGCGCCATCGCTCCGCATAATGCAGACGCTCCCTGATCTCGCGTGCTTTGATCTGCCGGGTTGAGGCGAGTAGAGTGGCTGCGAAGTCATGCGGACGTGAATATTATTAATCTGTCGCTGAACGGATATGAACGACTCGTGCGAGTTGCACGTGACGGCTCATGAGACATACGGGCGTTGTCATGCCGCTGGGTGGAGGAAAATTCAGCCGTTTCATCGGCGCAACGTTAACGCGCAAAAAATTTTGGCCCCTTCGCGACTAATAATAAATCGCATACTGGTCGATAGAGCCATGATGAACTGTTGGAAATCTGATATCCGTTGCTGAAATAGCCACCAGTTGGTGTAATAAAGTAGTTGTATTGTAAAGTAGTTTATGTCATCAAACGTGACTTTGGACGCTGAGGAATCGAATAAAAGATTCCATTTAATACATTTTCCTAATGTTTCAAAGGGCGTATCTCTGGACAGCGTAGACTTAGAAGATTGTGTTTATGGGACATTTTGATTTCCTGACAATAGGGAAGATATTCACTGACAAACTTTTCAAAATCTTGGTAGTTAACCACTTCGCTGGCATTGACGCACTTTTGCGTCAAGTAAAGGATGTACCAAAAATGATATTGACGCACTAACGTGCATTATTTTATTTTTTTCCCGTTAGCAAGATTTTCATGAAACTCAGTACTCAGGGATTTTTGGAGTCGCTGATTTCGAATCTGAGATTAGTTTTGTCAAATTCAAGATGACGGATCCAATATGGTGGGCCAAATGGAAAAATGGAAAACTTGATTTGGATGAAACTCGGTACACGGAGGTTTTTAGGGTCACTGATTTCGAATTTTAGCTTAAAATTTCGAAATTCAAGATGGCGGATTCAATATAGCGGGCCAAAATGCGAAAACTTGATTTGAACGAAACTCGATATTTGGAGGTTTTTAGGGTCGCTGCTTTCGAATCTGAGATTAGTTTTGTCAAATTCAAGATGGCGGATCCAATATGGTGGGCCAAATGGAAAAATGACTTGATTTGGATGAAATTCGATACACGGAGGTTTTTAGGGTCACTGATTTCGAATTTTAGCTTAAAATTTCGAAATTTAAGATGGCGGATTCAATATAGCGGACTAAAATGCGAAAAGTAACTTGATTTGAACGAAACTCGATATTTGAAGGTTTTTAGAGTCGCTGCTTTCGAATCTGACATTAATTTGAACTTTCAAATTTTAATCTCAAATTCGTATTCGACTTGAAAAGTACTTTAGTACTGACTTTTATAAAAATCAAACTGCATTTAGATCTTGCCATTTTTGGGTCGGTTGATGCTGATTTTCTCTGCCAGCGAAGTAGTTAAGACTCCTGATCAATTAGCTGAGAACTTCGCATTGATGGCATGATTGTGCTGAGTGTAAACGACAAAATAATGAACTATTAGGCGAGAAAATAGGTCTGTTCGTTTCCGAAGAATTTCTGCATTAGTACAAACTATTGCAATAAGAGTTAGAGTGAAAGAAAGTATATTTGTTTCTAACTTATTGCACTAGCAGTTTATCAAAAACGAACAGACCTAATGATATAAACAGACGAACCATTTTTTCTGTATAGCGTTATTACTGAGTATAGTGCGTGTATATCACACGTGATACAATTGTGGAAGTGTAAAAATGCTTCTAATATTGTGCTTATTGTGATATTTAATGTATATAAGTAGTTATTTAGTCATATTTTCGATACCGAGTCACACAGTCTGTAATTCTGTCAAAACGAGGCGATTTGTCACATTTATTTTACAGTTATGTAATAGTTACTTCGGCAAAAAGGGAGTATCCAGAGCATTTTACAAGTGTGTAGAATAAATTGCAGGTGTTATTTTAATTTTTACATCTTTTTATTTAGCGTGGTTCGCAGGAATTTTGGACATGGTTTTCTCGCTTCTGACGTCATCAATTCAATATGGCCGCGATAATTATAGTACGGCACACATTACACTCAGTTTCAAAAAGAAACTTTTAGTAAATAATAAAAAAATATAAAATAAAAATCTTTTAAAATTTAATCGTATCTAAAATCCACTAAAACTCTAAGAAGTATGAAATAATTTTGAATAAATATTCCTATGCACCTAGAATCCTATCCTAATTTTAACGATATTAGAAA